AGAGATGGGCCTTCAGAGGGGATGCCAGCACCCCTGCCCTGATACCCCAGCTGTCTGGGAGTTCTGCCTGGAATCACCCCAACCTGTCAGGAAGGCAGAGCCAGCCCCAGGGGTTCTTTACTCATCCTGCCAACTGAGTCGCAGCAGCACTGAAAAATTCATGTCCCTGTGTGAGGAATCAGGGAAGCAAGCACGGCCTTTGTGAGAGCCAGGAAAAAAATGGCAGTGACCTTGCCCAATTTCTCACATGGCTCTGCATCCGATCCCACCCATCCTGTCCTCATAAGCTGCACAAGGAGCTCTAATGCTGGTATTGATGCTGTCAAGCCTTCACAAAAGGTGCCCGACAGCCCCATGTACAGCAGAGATACGGGGAGCTCAGGCCATCAACAACTCCACAAGTCTCACATGGAAACCTCCACTCAGTGCAAGCACAGAGGAGGCTGTGAACAGCTTCTTCCTACCTCCCCTAATCTTGTGAGGATTAACGCCCAAAGGAGTCACCCACCTCAGACTCTGCTACAAACCTGGTTATTTTCACAGGAGAAACCAAAACCATTAAGGCCTATTTCTGCCCAGGAGCACACGGGGTTGGGAACTCGCTGCTCTCTCCTGAGCAGCACCTGACCAGGACACACAGGATGATGACAAGCCTGCACTCCCACCTTCCAGGCTGGGAATGCCACTGCAGACTCACCTGCCATTGCTGGGTTTCCTCACCCAGGTCTGTGAGTTAACAGGCCCCTCATACAGCAGCCTGGCTCTGCCCAAAATCCAGGTGGTTTCATTACTTTATCAAAATATTAATGGCCATGCTGTAAGATCAACATTTGTTTTGCCAGGAGCAACAAACAATGCAAACAGCACCGCCTCGAATCACGAGTATTTATTTAGATCAGAGGTTGAGAGCCACCCTCTGATCCCATGCCAAAACTGAGGGAAAACGAAATGCCTTTGGAGCTGGTGAGAGGTAATGGGTACAAAAGGTATCAGGAATGAACAGCTCTGTTTATCAACAGAGTCAGCACAGCCCTGTGTCCCCAAACTGCACCTGCCAACACCCTGTTCTGCCTCCTGTCCCCTCAGAGTCTATGTGCCTCAGGAGCTCAGGATGCCTGTTTCTGGGAGAAACAAGTCTCATGGTTTGCTCCTTTCTGAAAGCAGTGACCCAAAACCTCTATCATTAGTAACAATAATTAAAAGGTGCCATAAGAGGGAGTATATGGATGGTTGCCACTGCAAGGAACAGTCTCATTAATTTAGTACAGATTTTTAACTTTGCTTCATTAGGACATGGATGTTGAAGGCCATTTAGGACTCAAGGGAGACTCCTGCACTTTGGGCTCCCTCAGGACTGCCAGGAAGAAGGAAAGCAAGGAAGAGCTGGTGGCTGCTGTGCAGTTTTGCCCGTGCAGCCAGAGAAGGCATCATTTTTTCAGTCCTTTAGCCAAGAAAAAGCCTCCTTTCACTGAATCTTTTTCATAAACACACCTAAAAGTTCACTCTTAAATGTATCTTTTTAACTGGAACATAGGAAAGATCCCCCAGACCTAAAATAAGTGATAACTCAGACGGGCACCGAGGAGAAGTTTCCACGTCAGACAGTGTCCATAATGTAGAGTTAACCAATAACCACAGATCCAGCAGATAGGACTACGCAGACTCTCCAATGGAGCAGAGACAGGGAGATAGGAACACAGCGCTAACAGCTGGCTTGGGAATGGTCCCAGGGCCAACTCCATACATCACATATAAATGGGAAGGCACAACAGTAATTAAAGTCTACTTTAAGATAAACAAAAAAGCCCTGTCATGAATCACAGCTTTAACTACACATGTTATGCAACTATCGGATCTACCCCATCTCCCTGACTGCCCCTGCCAAGCAATTCAAGAGCTCCCAATGGCGTCTCCACAGAAGGACGCACGGAGTCAGAAAAGCCCTTGGGAAGCACCAGTGTGCAGGAAGCATCCCAACAGACAGGGGATGTAGGCTCCTACCCTCCTCACAAGGACCATCAGCTGAGACCAGCAACCACTTCACTTTTCCCAAATACTGAGTAGCCGGAGTGCACGGCGGGTGCCTGGAATGACAAGCAAGGCCAAGCCTTGCAAGCACAAGATGTGGGCCGCCAGCTGGAGGCTTTCTGGGCCACCTCCAGCCTCCTGCAGTCCCTGGAGAAAGTAGCTTTAGGAAATAACGTCCTAGTACTTTTGCCTTAGAAAAATACTTCCACCCAAGCACAGTTTTACACTAAGTTGTTCCTACTTATCATGACATTTCCGGAATGCATTGAGGAATGCACCCCAAACAAGGCGACTGTGCTTTTATTTCACAGAACACATCACCTGGGAATTGCCTCTGCTCTCCTTTGTCAGCAGCAGCTTTGTGCTATGTTCACTTTTCTCCTAATTGCAGTTGGAAGAACAGGTTCAGTCTCTCAACAGAAACCACCTGGAGTAAGGTAGGGGGGTTAAATCCACCCTGCATAGTAAAAGCAAATTAATCTAGGCTGATACAGCATGTGCCTTTAGTTGCCAGGAATCCACTAAAGCCCCAATCTGCAGAGATTTATGCATTTCAAGAACATGGCCAGCCTGGCTCCCTCCAGCCCAACCCAGCCTCACAGCACGCAGGTATGGATTGAGGGTCTCAGCTGAAATGTAAATACAGAATTTCCCACCTGCTGCCAACACTGTGCATGCAAATAGGCAGCTTATGCAGTAAGGACTCTTTAATTCAAGCAACCACTAACGCATGGATTCCTATGTCACCGAAGACCAAAGGGCCACCAGTCTTGCAAGCCAGTGCAGATCCCCAATGTTCAAACCGCCAAGTAACAGGGAGAAGAATCCCACATGCTACATTACTGCCTGTCTGAAATGTTCTACTTCAGCCACGAGCTATTTGTATCGTATGATTCTTTGCATATCCAGTGACTTTTCTCATTATCATACCAGAATTGGTCCAGCCATGGGCTAACCACATGTCCTGTGCCCTCACTCACCACCAGCCTGGTCGCAAGTCCAAGTGCCCTTGGACTGTGCTGGGATGAGCCAAGGCACAGCTCAGGGTGCAGCACCTGCCTCATCACCCATGTGACCCAGCAGGTACTGGGAGCCTGGCACTGCCACGGGAGCCGGAAGCAACCAGGGCTCACAACTGGACACCTGTAGCTCCAGGACCAGGGAAAGATATTCATGTTTTATGACTAGGATCTAAAGCAAATTTTATTGGGAGCTTTTATGTTGGTAGGTTTGAGTAGTTTTTATAGAGAGGAGTTCTGAAAACTGCCATAAAATTTTGCCTTGGGGGTTATGATTACATTTGTATCTCTCCCAAACTTAGATAAATAAAGACGACAGTTTTTACTGTAGAAGCTTAAAAGGTTAGAGCGGTATTTGGTCTGTGATGAACCTTTTATAGAGATGATGTTGTAAGAATTTATTCTTAAATATCAATAAAAAAATACAACTTAACACTTCTTGATAAAGCTATGGTGATTAGAAGAGCTGTCAAAGAGGTGGCAGCACTGCTGGTGGCTTCATTCCTGCTCAAATCATGCTTTAGTACATTTTTGGTTGCTAGAAACTATTAACTAATTTGCATTCTACCAGAGGAGAAACGTGCTTTCTAATGATGACACTTTGTGGTGTCTTAGTATTTGAGGCAAGATTCCCCTCACACCTGACTTTGTGGGTGAGCTGATACACCCCTCTTTACAAGGGACCCTATACAGTTTTACCTGTCTCTTTGTGCTTTTGAAAAGGGTTGAGACGTGACACCTGTGTTTTAGGCAGCACTTGCCACAGCCCAGCTGTGAGTTCAGCACACAAGCCCCGGTTTGTCCCCGGTGCTGCCCAATGGCCCTGCTCAGGCTGTGCCCCCACCCCATACCTGCCCTCTGCCCAGCACTGAGGCAACTGAAGCCCTGACCTGTACAATTCCCATGTCACTCAGGACACCACTTCAGAATCAGTACCTCAGTAACAGCAGCAGCTCTTGCCCACAAGACATTTCCCAAAGTTTCATTTCCCAGACACCATACCCACATGGATTGTCAGAAATGCTAACAGAGGCCAGGATGTGGACTCCAGGCTTCCCCTGTGTCATACAGGAGGTCCCAACTCCAGGACCACTAAGCACTGGTTAAAACAGGCACTGCAACTGGTCTCAGGTAAGACAAGCACACACAGCACTAACATGGAATGGCTTGTGTGAAAGCGAACACTGGAAACAAGGACTATTGAACCCGCTCTCCCTCCATCAAGCACAGCCATATTAGGGTTTTAAATTTCAATCAAAAACAGTGATAATCTTATTTGTTGCACACAGGATGACTAATTAGTGAGGAGAACTCCCTCAAAGCCCTCAGTGTGAGCAGCTCTCGGCCGAGCACAGCGTGTGGCACAGCAGGGCTGCGAGCGCCGTGCGGGCACAGCACCCCCAGTGTGCTCCACAAGGCACATTAAACCCCACACAAAGTCTTTATCAAATCAGGTGGTCTTGACCACACATCTGAATGCAGCCCACAAATATGTTAACTGAAACTAATTGGACACCATCAGTTAGAAATTACACACACTGCGACAAGTGCTCACAATGAACCAGTGCTCTGCAGAATTGGCAACAGACACAAAGTGAAATGGAAATCACAGCATCCAAAAGGAAACAACAAAAGCACGCGCGCAGAAAAAAGCTGCTTTATTTTTATTTTAATCCCCCACTCTCTTACCTTAATTTCCTCAGTCCAGCGCTGCTCAAACAGGATCGCTTTTCCAGCCGTTGGAGGAATATGGATGTCCCGGAATGCATTTGGAGTCACAATGTTTGCATTTGTTTGTGTGCTTCGTTCAGCGTTAGCGTGTCCATCTATGCATTTCACCCAGTGTTAGTGTGTCCATCTATGCATTTCACCCAGTGTTAGTGTGCCCATTTGTGTGCTTTATTCAGGCTATTAATGTGTTTAGTGTGTAAATAAGGCTAGAATACCTCCTACCTCTGTCTTCACCTCTGGCTGTGCCTCACAGTAGTCACCTGGGAGGTCCTGCTGTGGCTGTGCCAGGTCACTGGAGATCCAGAGGAGGTGACTGGGATACAAGGCCCTGCAACACCCTGCAAAAGGAACGTGCAGGGTTAGCCAAGCCACAGGGAAATGCTCAAACATTTAATGATCAAAAATATTCCATTCTATGAGAAATGTAATCGTACTTTAACCTTCTGTACTAAACAGAACAATCAATTATGAGCCCCCATGAGCAGAATGGGAATTCTCTTTGCACAGCTCCTCGAGCCCCCTCCTCTGCTCCCACTGCTCCGCCATGGCAGGTTCCAGAGCCAGAAGGCCCTGCAGAGCGAGCCCCTCACTGTGTTGTTTGCGGAGGGCCTGCTCTCATCATCCTCCAGGCATCAGGCTAATAAAACCAATAAGCAACAGACTGGGTTATGGCCACTGCTCACCTTTCAACAGTTCATTAACATTCACATTCTAAAATCACTTCAACACATGCCTGCGCCACCGACACAAGTTAAACACTTGCTGAAGCACTGGGTCAAACAATAAAGATTCCCCAAAAGCTTTACTTCACTTGTATCCACAGATACCCCGGAAATGCACGGCCACCTGCAAAACCAGTTACTGCCCCGCAATTAGAGGTTTATCATCCCTACACATGGAGCGAGGCATGAAAAGCAAATAATTGGCATTGAAAAGCTCAGGTGGAAAACTCTTTGCATCCAGTACTACCTGAGGAGTTAAGAGATGTATGTTTTTCTTAAGAACCTCATGTGTCTTCAGTGTTTCTCGGTGAAGGAAGGAAGTGTAAAATCATTACGTAATTTATTTGTTATGAATTGTGTCTTTTCACCTTGCTGCAGTTATTAACACCTCATTGTGTCAACGTAAGGCTTAAAATGTCATTGACAATGACGCGGTTTCATCCCAGGCCAAAATAACGTAAACAAGAAACTCAGTAATTCAAGGGAGGTTTTTGTGTTGTTTTAAAGCAGAGCTGGCTGGTAGGACTTGAGCTTGTCCCCAGCCGAGGACTCCTCCGCTCTGCAGGCTGTGTGGTGCTGGAAGAACTGCCTGGCCCTTGACACCACCACCCCTGACTGCCAGCTTCCTGGAGGCTGATCATCAGCTATTCCAGTAACTCCTGCAGGCACCCCAGCAGCACATTTCACATCCCCTGCCTGGCTCCGAGGACTGCAGCAGGTGGATATTGCCCACGGGTGATCAGGGTTTCAGAGGCAGCGGAACGTCGCCGGCAGCTGGAGGCTGAAGGCAACAAGCGGGATCAAAGGAGCTGCTGTTACCTGAGGCCATCCCAGCGCTGCCGCCTCTGGAGAGCTGCTGTTTGTTTGCTATCCTTAGAGTGCTCCACGGGATGCTGAGCACTGCCTGTGCATGGGGCTTTGGACACAAACACTCAGCTCAGAGAGCTGCCCTAGAGGGGGCTGCCCCAGTGCCCAGGCCCCAGCTCTCTGGGGTGGGAACCAGGAGCCACAGCAGCATGGGAGAGGGACACAGCCTTCCCTCATCACCCGAGTGCGTGAGGGAAGGTGAGGCGCTCACTGTCATCATCCTGTTGGGGATGTGCCCAAAAATGAAAAAGCTGGGAAATGCCAAACAACACAAACCAGCCGAAGCAGGAAGCCACCAGAACACCTTTGCCCAGTTTTGTTTCCTTTTTTTTTTTTTTAAATAAAGGTGCTGTTTGCCTCAGGCTTGTTTAGAGTATTTGCCTTGTGCTGGTAAGCAGCAGCCCAAGCCCAGCCCTCAGAACAGCCGGGCAGCAGGACAGGACGAGAGAATGGCAGAGCATAGACTCCACACGAGGTGCCGAGGCTGTGACTCAGCACCAGCCCAGTTCCAGAGCCCCAGAGCAGGGATGTGCAGGCTCTGGGCACCAACAGAGGCACTTAGATGCACTTGTTTATCAGTATTCTGGCAGCAGTGCCTGTGCACCACATGAGAAGGAGACCGAGGAAAGCCCTAGAGGAGCTGGGGGGTTCATGGAGCCCCCAAGCCCCTTACCACCATCCCTGCTTCATTGCACTTGTTTTCCTGCTCACAGTCTGACACACAAAGCACAGGCTGGGGCTACTGGGGGCCTCCTTCCCCACACAGGCTGAGGAGACAGGACAAGGAGAGCTTCAGGGAGGAAATTTTGCCAGCATGTATCTTTTTGCTGTTACAGGTTGGCATCTCCACAGAGCAAGGAGAAGGAGCCAAGTTTATTCCTACCCAAGTTTATAATTTACAACCTGTGCAACTGAAGGCTGAAAACACAGCAATTTTGCAGGGTAATTCTGGGGAGTAACCATCCTGCAGCACCAATTATTAAAACCACTTGCACACAATAAAGCTATAAAGATTAAAAATATAGCACACTTGTCATTAACTATGGATGAAGTCATGTAATATGTATTATAGAGCAGTGCAGGGCCAGCCGCGCGCTCCGGCACAGCCCTGCCAAGGAGCCCAAACCCCAGTCCCAGACCAGCACGCGTTTTGTCAGAGCCCAGGAACAAGTTTGTCATGCAAAATAAACACAGATGTTCCAGCTCTGACTGCAGCTCCCAGGCAGGGCCAGGCGAAGCAAGGGCTCTCAAAGCAGGGCTCTGGGTGCAGGCCCACTGTTCCACACACACTGCAGGATCAGCCGAGCCGCCAAGTCACCCAGAGGACACATCCTGCTCTTGGACGTAACCTGCTCTGCTGCTCACTCTATTTTTTCTCAATATTCTGTCCTGAAACACACTCAAATGGCTCCCTGTGCTGCTGGGCCTGGCACGCCTCGGTGACACTCTGCGTGTGCCTCCTGTTTCCAAAAGGCTCCAGTTTATCAGCACCTCGGGCCCTGCTTTGCTGGCTTATTGCAATTGTTTCCTCTCTTTCCTCATTCTGTTCCCATGAGAAATAAATCATTGTCTCCCCTGCCGCACACAGGAACATCCTTCAGTTTCTCTAAGTACAGCACTCAGGTCCTTGCGACACCCTGCAGGTACACACACACCTGTACAAGCACGCGCACATACACACACACACAGTGGCTTCTCTCAACTTTAAGCCTTGTTTTAATGATTTTCTAGACATTAAAATTCTTCTGTGTTTCCACACAAAGCTAAGATTTATCTTAGACAGACCAAAGATCAACTGACGCTTCGGAAAAACAAGGAGTTGATTATGCTGGAGGATGATCGAGGCAACTCCCCTCCACAGATCTGCACGAGGTAAACAAACCACCTACCACAGAGGTGACTGCCCTAAACCAGATTCAGGGCAGGCTTGTGGCTTCTCCTCTCACACCAGCAAGGCTCTGCCATCCCAACCCTGCCATACCTGATCACCCACGATTTCCTACCAAAAGATGCCCCAGCCATTCTCCGCACTTGCCAGCACAGGTACGGAGCTCCATCAGGCCGGATTCTCAGCTGGGGTGTCCCTCAGTTAACAAACTCAACTCTGACAACAAGTTTTATACCAGTTGCCAATGTGGACTCTTGGTCTTATTATCCTACAGATGTGTACTCCGGACTGGCTCCTGTGGATCCCTTTAGCTCTGCAATGGTCACTGAAAGGAGGAAAGGCCATGTCCATGGGGGAGCACTAGCCCTGTCCGATCTCCTCAAGGAGAAAATTGCAGCCAGCAGCTTGGTTTTCAGCCAGAGCTGTACATATGGATAAAATGGGGTCACCTTCCATCCCAGGAATTCAACATTCCTGCCCAGCTGTTTCAACTGGACTGATACCAGTGCACACTGTACTGATAAGAGTGGAACTGGATCTCTTAAGCCATAAAAAAACCAGAAAGAATAAAGGAAAAAAACACCCAAAGAATGGGATCAGAGTACTATTTCTGGTCTTTTCCAGCACTGTCAAGCAGAGAATTCTGGAACCCACAGTGTTAACGAGGGTAAGCTGCTTCGACAAGGGAATATATACTGTTAAATCTTGGGAGTTATTTAAAATGCCAGTGAGTATAATAGCAGTGCTCTGAAATAACCATTTCATCTGCCTACATTACTCTAAAATTAATGAATAATGAAGCGATGCCCTTCACATTCTCTTCCCTTTCCATTCCAAGATATATTGATCAGATGACATTTATTTAAGTTTGGGATAATGTATTAATTTCAAGATAATTATTCAATATACTTTTGTCACTGTTGATATGCTTCAATGTCATACAGGGGCCAGGGGATGAATAAACTGTTATCTGACATTGCTGGACAGGGTGCTAGGAATAAATGCAATTTTTCTCCTTGAGAGTCACTGCCTTAGTTTTCCCTTTTCTTTCCCCCCTCGGAGGGGAGGGAAGGCATTCTGGTGGAGCGGAGCCAGGCGAGACGGATAAGGGGGGTGGAGGGAAAGGGAGCACTGTGGGCTGAACTGCTCTTTCCTTGTCACCCGGGTCAGCCTGATGCTCAGCAGAGCTGACAGAGCCCATCCTTAGTGGATGCCACTGCAATATTAACACTCATTTGGAGCAGATGTGGCTAAAAGCATGAAACATTGAACAAACAGCTGCCACGGATCCAGTGCCATTGCAGGAGCACTTATGTTCCATTACTGCCGCGTTCCCGGGGCTGGGAGGGCAGCCCCGCTCCCCTCAGTGCCGTGGCTCCTCCGGCCCACCTGGCCTTGCCCTCCACTCACACACCAGCAGCACTTGGCTCTGGATTTATTCCAACAGAGAAACCATAACTTTTTTCTTTTTTAATCTCCAGTCTTTATGTGCCCCTCCACATATCACGCAGGAGACAGGCAGCCAAAGGGGACAGTAAAGCCTCAGAAACCCCAGCTCAGCTTGGGAGAGCTCCCGTGTAAATCTGCTGACCCCCCAGGCTGATTTTGGGGGTGATGGAGAGCCCAGAGCTCAGCCCAGGTGTGTGGAGAAGACAAACAACATGAAACGTGCACGCACAGGTAAATGCAGAGAAAATGGAGATGCAGCAAGTAAGGCATGAGCCAGGTACTGTTCCCTTGGATTTTAGCTGAAAGCTAGAGCTGGACACAGCCAGGCTGCCAGCACCTCACCGGAGCCCAAATCTGAGCACAGCAGGGATGGAGCTCTCAGCCAGTGCAACAGTGACTGGGGACAGCACCT